CCGTACAGGAGAAATAATTTTTAGTTATTATTACATAAACAATGCTCAAATAGAAGATATCTAAGTACTAGTCCATAGGATACTTAAATATGAATGAGTGATGAAGATGAAGAGCTCCAACAAAAGAGACAGAGAAGTCAGTGGAGTAGGAGGAAACCCAGCAGAGTATGATGTCCTGAAATCAAAATAATGAGAATGGTCTTAGAACATAGTGAGCAATACAGTCAGATGCTCATGATGGCTCAGGTATGATGAATGTGAGTTAACCTCAGCTTACTAAAGTAGAAGTGATTGGTGGGATAGTTTTGTCAAATAATTTTGAGCAATAATCTAGTTTCTTTATTCACCTAATTTTTTTTCAGGATTCCCTTATATTTGTCCTACATGAAGAAACAAGGGTTAAATCAGTGAAAGGCATTGAATGCTTTTGTGAACTTATAAATAAATAGGAAATCATTATCAATGGGATATTTTTGTCAAACGCTTTGACTTCATGTAAAGATGATCTATAAAACATGAGGAACTATTGTGTATCAAGATAAATGATATCATAGTCCTTAAAATGTGCCATAAATAGGTGGCTAAAATATTTTTAAACCAGTAGCTAAGATTTGCGTATGAATCCCCCAAAGGCCCACATGTTAATGTTTTGGTCACCAGCTTACAGTCTTAATGTGTGGTTGTAGAAACATTTTTGCAGTGCTGGAAATGGAACCCAAGGCATTGTACATGGTACTGAAGCACTTTACCACTGAGCTCCATACTCGGATCTGGAATCTTGAAGAAGTGGGGCTTAATAGAAGGCCTTTCAGACACTCAGGCATGGCCTTGAAGGGACTATTTAAATGATGGTCCTTTCCTTTCTCTATGCTTGTTATTCACCATGAAGTGAGAAGCTGCCTTGGACCTTCCTAAAGGCCCAAAAAACAATGGCCAACCAAATGTGGTTTAAAACCTCTGAAACCTGAGCCAAACCTTTCTTCTTTCAAGTTGATAACCTCAGATATTTTGTCATAGTGGCAAGGTTAACTAATGTACCAGTCAGTCAACAGATTTATTTTTCTGTTTGAAAAATACTTAATTTAACCAAATTTTCTAAATTTATTCCCAGTTGCCCTGTTATCATGTTTAATGAACCTAAGTAAACATATGTACACTCACATGTAAAGTATTTGAATAGTTTAATAAGACAAAGTTCATTTCTATAATAAGATTAAGGATATTTTTAAACTTTTTGAAACTTTCATTGGACTAGGGACTTCATGTCCAAGTTGAGGGAAAAAATACCAAAGCAAGCCACTTCTGAGCACAATATAGCCATTTATACTTTAAATATGGTATATTGTGTCTAACTCACTTTAAAAGAATGTGATTAAAGATGCATGCCTTGCTTGCAGTAGTACAGCAATGCCTCGCCATTGCTGCTAAGGTTACATGCCTGGGCAGCCACATGTGCACTACCCAGTAGCACAAAGTAGTTAATATTATATGGGAAAGTATTGAAATAGTGAGGTGAGAGCTGGCAGATAATTTTTCCCCTTATGGGTTGCTTAGAAATAAAGCAATTTCATATGACCTGTCATAAGTGATTGAGAAATTAGCTTGCCACAAAATACACTGTGGTTAAGTCAGTGATATTATGATTCCTAACGGTGCTGTCCTTTCTCTGATTCATTACTACTGTCCTCATTTTTTTGCACGGACTGTATGTACATCAGCTTTAGTTTCAAGCTCTATTTTCCAGGAAACTCTGGTTAAAAAATAAAAATAAATTCTAGAATAAAGTCATAATTTTACTTGTGTAAAATCTGTAATGCCATCATTTGGGTAAGCAATACAATTAATATGTATCTATAATTATTACTTCCTTCTTAACATAGGAGCATATTTATTTCAACCCCTAGGCTATAGGTAGAATGGAGTTAAAAGAAAGGACTAATCACTATTTGAGACTCATTACTATACAATGGTTTACAGTGAACTTCAGATTTCTGTACCTGACTCTGGAGCATGAACTTGAGAGCAAAGCACCTGGATTCAAATCTTAATTTTATTATTCACAACTGTTGTTTTTTAACAAATCACTTAAGTGCTCTGCACTTCATTTTCTCATCTGAAAAATGGAGAAGGGAATAGTACCTGTACCATACAGTTTTGTGAGGAGGAAATGAGATAATATAGATAATGCTAAATGTACTTAATATACATTCATTGTGCTTATCACATAGCAGTATGGAATGGTGAAAATGTATGCGTATATATTACAGCTATTGTGATAAAGTAAGATGGGCTGAAACCAAAAGAAAATTCTTGGCTAATGCCATATAAAACCTATCAAGGGACCAATATGTGGAAAGCCGTAGAATTAGGGGTATGATGACTTAACTGCAAAAAAAAAAAAAAAAAAAAAAAAATCAATCAGGAAACATCCTCTTAACCTTCCTGTTTACACAGTACATGTCACAGGGCAGAGAAATAATGAAAACAGAGCCACTCTGAAGGATTTAGAGTTCTTTTGTATATATTTTAAATATACATGTGCAATACATTAAAATATATAGAGATGTGTGAATATATATTTACATATATATATATACATATCTATATGAAACCACAGAAGGGATACATATGCACACTCACTCACATGTCTGTGTGCATACCCCAACAGGACCCATCTCTATGTAAACCAGATGCAGTCCATATCAGGCCAACTTGGACATAAGTGAAAGCCCTGACTCGGCAGCAGATTGCATTCAAGAACCCTTCAGTTTCTTCTACCAAGTATAAGGCCATTTAGAAATACACTGAGAAGAGCTTCTCTGGGTATATGGCAGAGCCCAGGACCCTTCTGGCAGTGCACAATTTGCCTGAGTAAGGACTGCAGGATTAGAATATCAAGGAGCTATGAAGAAGGGACTTGAAACTAATAAGCAAGCATCCATAGAATAACTTTAGCTCCAGAACAATGCTCTAGTATCAGAGAATCCTTAGATATCTGGACTCTAAGAAAATTTTGGATAGACACAGAAAGAAATATGTGTGTTGCTACTCATTACCACCCATCTTCACCCAGATAACTGGGAACAGCTTTTAGGGGTAGATAAGTTTGAAGTACAATCAGGCAGATTTTTTAAGATTAAAAAAATAAATTAAAGGATCTAAAAGCAACATAAGAAATTACAATTATTGGTTTGGGATTTATAAATGTTTCAAGAAGCCTAATCTTATATATGGCACCATTTGCAGCAATATCATTAACAGTATTAATAATCATCATAACATATTTATATATACAAAAATAGAGCAAAGCAATTCTACAAGAAGAAATGTAACTGAAGGTATGGGGTTGTATGCAACCCAATGTCAATACACTTCAGGAAGTTTCAGAGCCGACAAAGACTATGTGGCATATATTTCTGCAGTATAGATCCAACAATGGGACATGGAATTCCCTTTCTTCCTCCTGGGCATGACTAATCACTCCTCACTTCACCCTGCAACACACATCCATGCACACCTTAAAAGAGATGATACATAGAGTCTGGAAGTCTTAAACTAAGTTGGAGCACCTTGATTTCAAGCAAGTGCCCTCAATCTCTGAATTCCTTGGTAAATTTTGGGTTTACTTACTGAGGGAAACTATATAATTCTCATGTCTCTTAGAAGCAGCCTTTAGCAGCCTGTCATCACCATTGCAGACTTTTTCCCATTGGCAGGGGTTCGCAGCACAGGCCCTCTGTACATCTTATGAGGGAAGTAATTTCTCTTCATTGCATATCTTTCATCTCAGTTTTTCACTGGTGCTGAAATCTAAGTTCTCAGGCAGCTACCACTGCAGACAAGCCAGGAGGGAGCACAGTGTATGCAGCAAAGAGGAGATGCAATGGCGAAGATACAGCTTCGTTAGGGTTTCTTTAAATTTTTTTTCTTTTCCACTTTTGAGCTTCTACAAGGTGACAGAGTCAAAGGTGATGTCCACTGGGGGCAGCTTCAATACCTGGTAGTTTATTAGCTACCTACCATGCACTGCAGAAAGACCACCACAATTACACTTCCCATGGGTTCTGAAGAATAGTTGGGAGAGAATGGCTTTCTGACATTGTTAACAGAGTCCTAAGAAAAAGTCCAATGACTCAGTGTGGTATATGGGAGAAACAAACTAGAAGTCAGAAGGCCTGCATTCCTGTCCAAATTCTGCTATCAACTCAAGTGTGTGACCTTAGGCAAATCCCTTCCTATCTTCAGGCCTCAGTTTTCCCATCTGTAAAACTGGGGCATTGAACTAGATTAATATTTAAGATTCCATCCAGCTCTAAAATTTTATGACTTTTTATGTCCATTATTAAGGCCTGAGCCATGCAGTCTCAGGAAAAATAGCTTCTAAGAGAGAACATACCTCTGTAATATCCTTTGCTTTGTTCATTTAGCTATAAAGCACGTCTGCCTTTGGCACTTGGGTCAGACATACAAAGTTATGAGCATCCTGATTTACTATCCTACTCAGCATGCTAGTAGAATCTGTCAGTACTATAAGTTTATTATCGAGAAAGGAAAAAAATCTCCAACTAATTGAATTTTGAAATATAAGATAATCTCATATGCTCACAAACAAGTGAGTGTGGTTGTGAGTGCGTACACACATTGGGATACAGACTATTGCTAGCAATCATTTCATTACAGTAATCCATTTCCCTTAATAAAATTTAGTAAATAGTAAAGCGTAGCAAAGTTTGGCATCTAAGGAAACACCTATGAAAAAACAGCACTTTTGGATGTGTCAGAGAAAGAGGAGCAGATAGAAAGAAACTATGAAACAAAATAAAAATATAAAGAGAGGATTAATCTTAGAAAGCAGAGGGTAGCGAAGTAGGAAATGAGAAAAAATGTAGAAAGGTGAAAGTAGACGCTGAAAAGGAAAGGAGAGGGAGATGGAAAGGGAGAGAAAAAGAGGGAGGGAGGGAAGAAAAGAGGGATGGGGGAAGGGATGGGCAGAGAGAGAGGGAAGAAAGGGAGAGAGAGAGAGAGAAAACAGACAGACAGACAGACAGACAGACAGACATATTCCCTGGAAGGTTGAACGCTGTTCCACACGGACCTATGATGACCACCTTAGAAGAAAGTCTTCAAAGGCACTGTGGAAAGCAGAGTGACAATCAGAGCCTGCACCGAGAGGCATTACCTTGGGGAGCCCCTAAACCTCCACGTTGCTGGCTCTGTCAGTCCTCAGTGTCCAAACCTCATGCCCATATATCACCTGAATTTGCCATGACAGCTGAGCTGGCAGGGTGTAAAAAGACTGGAGAAGAGTGGGATAGATACTATGAAAAAGAGCAAGGCATCCTGCACGAGGATGTACTTTGCCATTCTACTGACACTGCAGGAACAAAAGAGGTGAGGCCCTAACTTTGGCTAGTTTATTATCATCCCCCCCCCACACACACATATATGAGGCCTATACTTTACTGAAGAGGGTAAGAACACTCTGCATCCGATATCTTGTGGGAAGGTCATACAGACTTTTCCTGGGCCTTGGGGAAGGGAGCACTACCAGAAGAGATTTTTCTGCACACAGTGTTGGTGTGCCTCTTGCAGCGGCATCCTGGTCGCCTGAGGCTATCGTAGCCTTGCTGGCACAGATGGAGGCATCCACGAGTAGGCAGGTAGCAGCACAGGCAGGGTAGGAAGAGGGAGATGAGGCTCATGGCTGCCCAGCGGATGAAGCAAGAGCTAGGCCCACAGGAGCAGGGCTCATCGGCGCAGTTGTCTTCATCATCAGTGGAGCAATGGTAGAAGAGGCCCTTGACACAGCAGAGGCAAGTGCCATAATCGAGGAGGCTCTCAGCGGAGCAAAGGCAACGCTGGTTGCACATCCAGCAGGAAGGGAGAGGGCGAACCGCGGTGCAGGTGACACACTTGCAGCGCCCGCACTCCTCACAGATGAAGAGGTGATCACTGGGATGCCCTGCAGAATGCTCAGCTTCTCCCTTGAGAGCACCATCAGCCTTTGGGTGGACCCCTGCTCCAGGCTGGGTTCGGATGATGGACTGGCCTGAAGGAGAGGGTGTAATGCTGGACAAGAGCCTTTGATCAGAGGCAGTGGTGCTATGGGACATTGAGCTGGCAATGCTAGATTGGCTCAGATGCTGAGGCAAGGGCTGCAACTGATGGCACTGGCTGAGACTGCGTGGGAGGACAGTAGGCATGGTAGCCAGGGACCAATCAGATTTGTGGGTTTGCACAATAAGGGAAGGGCTGGAGAGAGCCTGTTTACAGGGGGCTGGAGGCCTTTCCACATAATCATTGCTAGCGTGAGTAGAGCGCAGCTGTTCAATAGGCAGGATTTGTTGGAAATCATCTATCACTGTGGCATCCATTTTGCCTTGATTTTTGAGCTCTGAGTGATTTGAGGTCAGAGTGGCACTTATGGTGATAAAGAAGAGCCCTTGTAATTACATGGACTTCAGGGCACATCAGAAAATCCTAGGAGAAAAGGAACAGAAATAATAAATAAGAACACACAGGAACAAGTGCAGAGGAACCAATGAAGTTTAAGACTTATCACCACCTCTACTTTGAATCACTTTACTGTAGTCTTCATATGAAGATGTTATTTTATTTTGTAAGTGAACTCACCTATTACAGACAAAACTGGTCATCCCATCCAAATTATAAAGCAGTTTGGGAGTATTATTAGATTAATTCCTTTTTTATTTCATCATGTGACTAAGTTCACAGAAGCAGCTAAATCTAAGTTTTGAACATCAGAATTCTAAAATGAGCCAAATGTTAAATACAAAGATCACTTCATAAATCAATGCTGAAGCAATAGAGGAAGGTTCAAATCTCTACCACAAGAAGCTTCCCATATATGTAACCATCCTCCTTCCTCAGCCTCCAGAGTAGCTGGGACTATAGGCATGTGTCATAAAACCCACAATTGCTTCCAGAATCAATTGTATTTGGATATGACTAACACTGGGGAATGGGACAACTACTGCAAAATATAGAAACCAAGGCAATAATTATTTCAAATATCGCCTGTAATTGTACTATTTTATTTACCAAGCCAAATATGCATAGATTGCTTTTCTCTAGCTTTACACAAAAATGGTTTTCTTAAAGAGAATAAATGTTCCTAAACTATATTTAAGCTTAGTTGGTTATTAGAAAGCATATTCTTACATCTTCATTGTGCCACAAAGAGTTTTGTAGTCATTCTCTGAGAGACTTTGATCAAGTGTAGAATCGATAGTGGTGACCATGCAGAAAAGACTGTACAAGCAGCAGACTCCTGTACCTAGAAGACTGAATGGTCAAAAAGGAAGTGGAAACATGAATCCAAGAGACAACTTTGAGCATTAGGACATAAAAATCATTATCATGAATATAGTATATATCTAAAATCCAGCAAATTGTAGGCTTCCTCAAAATATACAAATTACTCATACTACTGTATGGCTTGGAAAGCTTGAATGACTAATGAAAACAATGAAAAACAGAGAGAAAGAGGAAACAGTACCTGATTAGGTTTCCAGAAGAAAGCAAACTTGACACTGAAAGGGGCCCAAAGCAAAATAATAACAGGAAAAATAATGATACAGTGCATGAAAAGTTCAGCAGCTAGTAACTACTACAGCTAAGTGACTTTTGAGGGTATACAAACCTCATTAACTGGACTTGTATCTGCCTAAAAATGAAATAAAAATTATGGAAACCCTGAGATTCCAATATATATGATAATTTTGTCAAATCATTTGCTTTCTTTGACCTCAGTTTCACCACCTATATAATTATAGGGGTAGTCTAGGCAAACTCCAAGGATACTACCCCACAATGGTTTGTATTTCTACAGACCATTTGAACTGTAATTTGAACAATATTTTCATTCATCACCTACATCTTCAAGTCATCAAGGGTAAGTTGGGCAATGTTCTCTTATTTGTACAATTCAAAAACAAAAATAAACCTTCACCACTTGCACTCAAAACCGCTGCAACCTCCCACCTGCTGCTTTGCAAAATCTTTGCAGATTCATAGTCTTGGCATTAGAAAGGAATAGATAGTATTCATTTGGACTTCTGAATAAACAAGTGCATATTTAGCTGGACTAGAGTTTATATGTGAATGTAGAAGCTTTGGACTGTGAAGTGTATTTTGATACAATTATAGGAAATAGGTTTATGTCCCACTCATCAAATACAGGATGGGCGGAATCCTTCAAAGCCAGTACACTTTAAATACAGTAACACATACTGGATGTAATTAGATGTATCAACAAATAAATAATAGATAGATAGATAGATAGATAGATAGATAGATAGATAGATAGATATGGAAAATGTCAAGAAGTAGTTAAAAGAGATAATCATGTTATATTCCAAAGACAGGATTACAGTGTTATCACTGAATACTTGAGGGACATACCTACAAAGTTGCAAGCTGAACGTGATTGAATTTAGGTCGTAATACAAACAGAGGATTCAGAACCAATAATCAGAACCATATTCAAGGGGTTTTTGTCTGGAAACCAGAAGGCCATGTGGTGTTTAGGTAAAAGAACGTGTATTAAAATATTAATTAGATTTCTGCAAGACTGAGAGACTTGGTTGGATGATTAAAGGATGCTATGGAATCAATCTGCAATAATGATGTACTGCTGCCTTCAAGTAAGGGGACTGATGGTGTGAAATTGGGTTTTTCTTGCTCTTAATTTTTTTTTTTATTAGAATGGACTCTGAGGCACAGTGTGGGCAGTTATGATCGTGGTAAAATTAAGGTGTTGGGCAGGATTTAAAAGACTAAGTGATATTAAACTTTTTGCCATCCTGGACCTGCCAAATCTGATCTAGCTAAAAATGATAAACTGAAATAGATATATACAATAACAGAAGGTAAGAGGAGGAAAATGTTGAGGAAAAAATAGGCAAAAGACTGCTGCAGCACATAGACTAGATGAGAAACTACTACTGATGCATGTTTATGATTCAGGAGTCCACCCATTAAAAAGCCATTCTTTGTGAACAGCAACAATTAAGAAACTGCCTGGGCTGTTGGTTAATTCCACATTCTGTTAAACAACAAAATACACATATCGCATATTATTAACTAGAAGTCAATGTGATTATGAGTCTTGGCTGTGTATTGATGGACTCTAGTGATTTTTGTCACGTAGTGCCTCTGCAGTAATGAATGATGCATTGTAAACCCACCCCCATCAGTCTTGCTGGCCAGGTGCTCACAGCTTTCTGAATAGTTTTTCTCTAGCCCTGAAATTCGCTATATTACCTAAATAGAAATTTCTTTTCTTACACCAATTTAGGGACCAGGAAGCTAAACATATTCAGGAAATCATGATGTTTGTTAATGAAAGAAAATGAACTTCTCTCTGGAATCTAAAACCTGCTATGTTGAAACTGAAGTTTAAAAATTTTTGCCTAAAGCTCTTCTATGGTAATGCCTTAAGACATTTCTGATTTCTATGATAAATCCTTTTTGATACAGTATGACTCAATGTTGATTTCAAAAAAGAGGGAGAACAAGAAGAAGGAAGGCCTGACTCCTGTTTTCTCCCACTTTCATGGACTCAGTGTTGTTTTGTACCTTACTGTGTAATGACTCTGGGGTGTTCTGTGGGTCTTTTCCCTGTACTCTTGCTGTTATATACACTTGTTCTCAGAATAACTGAAAGCAAACATGGGGAGAATTTCTGCTATGGCCTTATATGTTTTCTTAGTTCTACTCTTCCAAATCTGCTCTCTAAAACTCCCTCTCTGTGCAAAACCATTTGCATCTCTATCAAAGCACACTTCCCTTACAAATACCAAGTTGTATATAGTTTACATTACTGACCTCTCCGTTACTGACTGGGCCTCCCTCATACCGCATACATCTCGCTGGAGCTGCCAGGGTCTCACCACATTTAACTCTTAACTTGTCACTTTATTACCCCAGTCCTATTCATTACTTTAATAGTTTCATTAAGTCTTGTAGCAGTTTATTTCAAGCCAGTGAGCCTTCCAGTTTTAAGACTGGCATTATTAAAGATTTAGGTGTTTTAATGATGACTGATGCAGAGAAAAAATATAATACCAAATGAATTCATATACCTCTAATGCTGAGAAAAACGTTAAGAAGCTACTTGTTTATTTAAGACACTGGAATCTTTTCTTTAGGCCCAAAAATATTTTATAAGGCAAAAAACTTGGTTTCTAGGCCTAATGCTAGTTTTACTTTGCTGTGCTACAATAGGCAAGTGACCTCTGCTGCTTCATCTGCAAAATGAAGGGGTATGCAAGACAGGTTTTTAAAGCCCATTCTTTTCCTGATATTCTAAATTCTATGCTTCATTTTGGATGCATATCTAAGTCTCAAAAATATTCATGAAGAATCAGTCTCTTTTCCTTTTAATTCTTTGCTTCCTCACTACTCAACTCCTCAGCTCTGAATAAATACCTCCAAATTCAAGTCATTCAGATCACTAGATTATGTTTCATAGATAAGAGACCTAAAAACAGAACACAAAGAAACAATACGTCCAGAATTTTACAATAAAGTCTTAGTGTATGTTTACAGTCAAAGAGAGAAGGCTAATACTTAACCGTGGATAAACAGCTAGTCTGCGCCTTATTTGTATGCAGCTGGCTTGTTGAGAACATGATTTAACATTGTACATACCCCAATTCATGTGATAACACATCACAGTACAGTGAGGTTTTAATATGTGCAGAAAAGCAACAATAGTTTGCATTTGAAAATATATTTTCTATTTTAGGAGTTCAAGATCTGTTTTCTGTATATGGAACTTGATTTGCAGGATTCATAGGTAAGTGATAATTTAATGTGTGGAAGGAAGTGTGCTGTAAACCGTTGCCCTAGGTCCTATCAAATGCATATTGGTTAACTAGAAATGCTTACAGGTTCTCAGTTTAGACAAAATTTCCTTATGCCACATACAGATATGTGCACATATACCCAGGCATGGATCCAGAAATTTCTAAATCATTCCTCTGACTCAATGTAAGCAGGGGGTTATGCCGTGTCAGCTTGCGCCATTTCTACCCAAGGCAAGGTGATGTGATGAAATCTGAACGATGCACAGCCTAGACTTGTGAGCCAATAGCAGACTAGCCCCATGCTGACAGGATGCCCGCTGGGCAGCCAGACTGGCCTCAGCAGGGGCTCTTCCTTACGTCCTCACCTTGGGTGGTTAGGCTGCGCTATGAGGAGCTTGGGTAAGCACCAAAATGCATTTAAAGGTTAACAGGCGAGATGTTAAATTGACATTTAGCTAAAAAAGGGATTATATAGAATTCCTATTTTGATTTATAAATTTACAGTACGGATAATTCTCTACAAGAGCTGATTCATTTAAATGTCATTTTAAGGGTTTTCATCTTATTTTACCCAGTCTCTTGCTTGTACACACACACACACACACACACACACACACACACACACACACACACACACCCTGAAAGCTGGAATGAATGGCAATCTGTGCATTACACAGAAGGAATTCTGGAATCTTTAAGAGCTAATCCCCGTGGCTTACCTTGAGAAAATGGTTTATCCATGCTGAGAAAAGCAGAAGAACTAATGCTCCATCTGGCTCAAAGGACCTCTTCTCCTGAGTCGTTAGGTTTCTCCACCGCTCTTCAGAAAGTCTGAATGAAAACTCCTTTAGTGTCAGAGAAGGTGGAAACAGAGATAGTTCTGTCTTGGTCCTTCTGACACAGCAGGAAAGAGAGAGAGAGAGAGAGAGAGAGAGAGAGAGAGAGAGAGAGAGAGAGAGAGAGAGAGAGACAGAGACAGAGACAGAGAGAGGAGAGAGGAATCAGACCTGTAGTGGCAGACACTCTGTACGGATTTTACATGCAGATCTAAATCTTGATGCACGTATTCCCCAAAGAAAGCTCAGCAGGGTAAGTTATTCACCTCCTCCTATTTCTCCTCCTCCTCTTCTTTCTCCTCCTCCTCCTGTTTCTCCTCCTCCTTCTCTTTCTCCTCCCCCTCCTCCGCCGCCTGTTACTCCTCCCCCTTCTCCTCCTCCTCTAGTTCCTCCTCCTCCTCCTCCTCCTCCAATATTTCCCTTCCCTCCTCTTCCCCTCCCCCTCCCCTTCTCATCTCTCCCCTCTTTCCCTACTCCCCCCACCTTCCCTTTGCCCCTGCCTCCACCTCCGCCTCCGTCTCCTGCAATCTGTCAGATGAACGGAAGCAGCAGAAACTGCAGTTGTAGACACAGGGTATCTCGACGGAGCAATAGATACCGCTAGTGTGTCATTATTTATATAGCTCTGGGTGTGTTGGTATAGAATCTTGCCGCGGTGTGTGTCTGTGTGTGTGTCTGTGTCTGTGTGTCTGTGTGTGTGTGTGTGTGTGTGTGTCTGTGTCTGTGTGTGTGTGTGTGTGGTGGGGTGAGGTTGCACTGTGTGTTCAGCTCGGCTAACTTGCTCTTTTGTGAATGTACGTGGTTTCGGGAGGTCTTGTGAATGGGTTGTAGGGGAGGATGGGAAGGGATTTATCCCTTCTTGCTATAATTTCTTTCTCTTCCCCCTTTCTGTGTCGTTGCTTTCCCGGAGCTGCAGCTCTTAATGCTTGGCTAAGTGGCGTCATCCAGCTGAAATTGAATCGACCCATTAGAACTCCCCATAGGAATCTCTGTATCCGGTCCCTGGGTAATGACTGAAACAAAATTTAAAGGGGAGTGGGGTTAGGGTGGGGGACAGAAACAATTTTAAGGAGGCCTTATTTAAATATCTCTGCCAATCACAGTCGTACCAAGCTGCTCAGCCCTTTATGAGTGACTGCAGCTTCAATCTGATAAAGATTGAGCTTCTCCTTTAAGGCCTTTCCGCCGCCCCTTTTCCTCATTCATTCCCATTTTTTTCAGCACTAATGATTGTCCATCCATCATCCTCTGGGAAACCATTATCCAACCTATATTCCTTTTCTTCCTTCAATATGTCATGCATTTAACAACAAATATTTATTGAGTAGCTTCCTTTGTGGTAGGTGTTGTGAATTCCTGTCCTTATGGAGTCTCCTTGGGACTTTAAGGGCTTTGAAAATAAAGCAGCCTTAATTTACTCTTAGAGAAAAAGACAAATCCTCCAGTAAATTATCTTGAATCCATTATTTAGTTCAATAGGACTTCTGGGCACCCAGAAAGAAGCACTGGGATAAATTCAAACCTCATATTTAAAATCAAAGTCCTGCTTCAATGGACTAGTGGCAGGAACTTGGCCATCAACATTCTTAGGATGCTTTGGTTACCCCATCTATAAAATTGAGATGGTAAATGGTGACAGTTGAGACTAAAGCAAACTTGGGAGTCTGGAAACTCGGATTCTTAATCTTACTCTAATTCCTTGTGTGACCTTTGCAATTTACTTCCCCTCTAGAGCCTCAATTTCTACATTAACACAAAGAGATCTGATTAGGTAATTGCTTTGGCTCCTTCTGGCTTTGGCATTCTATTATTTTCACCCTCTCAGGGGTGTTAAAAAATAGAAGTATGGTTACGTGTATCTGCATGCATGCTGTAAAAGTTCTACAAATTTCTTTTTGATATGTATGCATATGTATATAATACATATATATATACAATTTATAAGCAAATATAAATCTATTTTCTCAGTCAAAATTCCCAGTCAAGAGATTTTTCTGTGTAAATTCTTCTCCTTTATGGATACAACCTGTTCCTTATACTTAAGCTTATTGAAATCATGAAAATCATAAAAACTAAACTGTATATTCATCTATAGAAGATAGATTACTAATATATTCATGCACCCATTCATCCAACAACTATTTATTGTACATCAAGTATGTGCCAAGTACTATACTACTAGCTGGAGTCAGGCTAACATATCAAAGTTCACATTTTTGGCTCCTGAACTTAGGCTATCTGACTTAGGGAAATTTAACTGGTCTCCTTGAGCCCGTTTCTTCATCTTTAAAATAGAGATAAAAATGGTTCCTACATCACAGGATTGTGCTGTTGTCCTATAATTTGAATAAGGTCTTACATTTGGAAGATTTTATCACGTGTTCGACATATAAAAAGCACCCAATGAAGAGTAGCTATGAATTTTAAAAATTAGCCTCACCCTGGGCCGGGCGTGGTGGCACATGCCTTTAATCCCAGCACTCAGGAGGCAGAGGCAGGCAGATCTCTGTGAGTTCAAGGCCAGCCTGGTCTACATAGTGAGTTCCAGGACAGCTGGAGCTACAGGGAGACCCTGTCTCAAAAAGACCAAACAAACAAAAATTGTCCTCACCCTAATTTAGTCCAAAAAGAAGGCAAGAAATTATTTTAATTAGAAGTCCTTTCATTTTTCTAAAACACAGCTTTCAATTTGAACAGGTGGGTTACCTAATTCTTTTCCTCTATTTTGTGAGTTTATATTAAGGAAACAAACAAACAAAATAAAAACAATTCAACCTTGCCTTTTAGGATGATACCTATAGCAAAAATAATTATGTTGATGCTCATTCATTTATTCAACAATGCCTTCTATGGGCCAACCATTAGCCAAGTTCTGGTATTCTAACAGCTAAATATCCTGCCCTCCTAAAGTTGACATTGAATTGGATAGGGAGACACGTTTATTCTCTGCAAGCCACTATCTTAAGCATTTTATGTGTTTTGAGTTATTTAATTCCTACAACAACCCAATGGAGTTTATTTATAAATTGGAATGATCTTAGAAGGGGAAACAAAGATCCAAAGAAACTAAGTAATTTACCCAAGTTTATACAACTGATGAGTTGCAGATCTGGGATTTAACTCAGTCCAACTCATTCCAGGGCTTGCACACTTAACGATTTATGCCACAATATCCAACCATGTGCAACTCCCTTTAAATGATTCTTTTTCCTTTAACTCTTTCAAATATTTGGCATCTACTGTGGTTAGAATCTTTGCATCTCCCCTAGACTCTTATGTTGAAAACCAATTGCCAATGTGATAGTATTAGGAGGGGAATCCATTGAGAGTTAATTGGGTCCTGAAGTTGAAGCCCTCATGAATGGAATTGGTGATCTTATGCAAGAGGCCCTGGTGTGTTGGCTTGCCTTCCTACCAAATAAGGACTCAGTGAGAAGGCACCACCTCTGAATCAGGAAGTGTTTAAACCCTCATCGGTCACTACCAAAAGCTTCTCAAATGCTGAAAAGTAAATTCTGTATTTAGGCCATCTAGTCTAAGATATTTTGTTATAACAGCTAAAACAGATAAGACATTGCCTCTGAATAGTCTATATTATTGCATATCTCTTAGCCTTTGAATATCCTATTCGGTCTTCCTGAAATATCTACCTAATCTCTATCTTTTAGACCAAGGCCATAGAGGTTACTCATTATAGGAAAAACTTTGCCTAATCACATCTCTCTTCAAAAGAACAGTTTAAAGATTTGTCTTCTTCTTTATACTCCAGTTGGCCTCTTAATACTTAAACACGATCACAGTACTTATCCGTCTTTATTATGATTATCTGTCTACCATTTTAGATAGTAGTCAACGGTGGTATACTCACCATTTACCACATTTGTCTTCACTGCTGCATCTCTAGGGACTGAAACAATGCTCACACAAGCAATGCTTATTGAATGAATAGTTAAGTGATTCTTGAAAATCTGCCTGGGCAACCTTTTAATCTTTGCATTTTAAGCTATTATGCTCCCAAATTACTTTTGTAGTTTCATGATTTTTGATAGACTATCAGACTAGTGTAGTTATATATATATGTATAGAAAATAAATGTTGAAACATTACAATATTCACTATATATTACCTGAAATTTTGCTTTACAAACTGATTAGATTCCAGTAAGTGTATTTCAGGAAATCTGTTAATTGTGTGCTTTTTGAAAACCACATTGGACAGATTCATTGAATTGCCAAAAATCATCTACTTAGTTAGGGATAGTGTGGGAACTAGAAGCAAACCCAGTTCTTCCTTTTTTTTCTGATACTTTAATGTCAGTTAAATTCCAAGTGACTTTGTAGATATTATCTCAGTATAAATCAACACATATTTCAGCAAGTCACTTATTTCCAAAAATTAAATAACCTTTAAAGACACCAGAAAAATCACTCTGTCTTCCACATATTTCTTTGATACTCTTAGAAATCTCTCAGTTGTAGTTTTACAATGAATTAATCACATCTTTAAATATTTTATAATAGCTGGTTGTTCAGGTGAGTTATAAAATGACAACTCAAAGGGATTTTAAAGGTGAAAGAGTAAGTCCAAACATTATGCAGACTAAAAAGATAGTACATGAACAAAAGCATTGTAGGGAGTTACAAATGTTGAAATAGGAGCTGAAGAGATGGCCCAGCAGTTAAGAGCACTGTTTGCTCCTGTGCAGGATCCAGGTTCAGTTCCCAGCACCCACTTGTCAGCTAACAGCTGTCCATAAATCCAGTTCCAGGAGATCCTATGTCCTCTTCTAACCTCTACAGGCATTGCATGACACGGGTGCACTTACATACATGCAGGCAATACACACATACACATTAAATAAAAATAATAAATAAAATATTTTTAAAGTAGAAATAAAGTAGCTAGTGAAGGACTCACAGAGTAATTAGTATCTGAGCCTCTCCTCCCCAAAACTGAATAAGCATATATAATTCACATGAACATATACAATTCACATGAAAAGTACATGTGTAAAGTTCAATTGGCAGCAACAACTGGCACGTGGAGTCTGAGAACAATGATACATTCAAATTGTCTTATGTAAGAGATATGTTGAAAATAGAAATGGAATGTATAGCATTGGAAAATAACTTGAAAGACAGACAGAATAACTTAGACTTAATGTTCTAGGAATTAGAAATAAAATTTTGAATAAAATGACAGTGATAAGGTGTAAATATAAACCATATTAAGCCAGATATACTGGGGGGCCAGCAAGAAGGCTCAGTGTGTAAAGG